AGGATTATTCAGCAGGAGGATTATCATGTCAAATCTAGCCTGGGCAAATTACCGACCTGCAGAAACCCTGTCTCACAAAATTTAAAAAAAAAAAGGTTGAGAATGGAATTTAGTGTAAAGGCGGGGGCTCAATCCCTAGCACTGCAGGGGAAAAAAGTAAACCCTAATATAAATGAAGGACTCTGAGTCCTGATGATGCATCGTAGGCATCGTTCTGCTGAGAGATGCTGGTAATGGGGGAAGTTATGCTTGCTGGGAAAGAGCAGGAGATGTACGAAAACTCTGTACTGCTGCTCAATTTTGTTATGAATCTAAAACTATTCTAAAAAAATTGAATTAGGCATGATAGTACATGCCTGTAATTCCAGCACTTGGGTAAACTGAGGCAGGAGGACTGCAAGTTCAAGGCTTGCAGCTACATAGCATGTTCAAGGCTGACCTAGACTACATGGTGAGATCCTGTCTCTACAAAAACAGAAAAAACCAACAACAAAAAGAACCAATGCAACACACAAAAGAAAACCACTACAAAAACAAAATATATTAATTTGTCTTAAAAAGCAGAGTGTATGCTTAGCTATATAAGGCCCTGAGTACAATCCCTACTACCAAAAAGAAAAACAGAAGTTAGTCATCCAACAAACTAAATCTCTACAGTAAACAGTACAACAGTGCTACAACTTTACCTTGAAAAAATAAAACTGTTATTTCTGTTCATATATGTGACAAAATGTAGTACATAGTATAAATTCAATTATGCACTTAAAATGAAAAGTAAGTAGAAAATTTTGCCATGATTTTCCCCCCAATTTTATTTTATTTTTTGTTTTTTTGACACTGTCTCGCTATGCAGTTCAGGCTGGCCTTGAGCTCACCTTGCAGCCCAGGCTGGTCTTGAATTCTCAATGATCCTCCTGCCTCAGCTTCCCAAGCACTAGGATTACAGATATGCACTACCACGCCCGGCCTTTTGATTTTCCCCCAAATTTTATGATCGCTCCATAAGACACAATTTGCTTCCTGTTGCAGATTTACTGTTTAATTTTGGAAAACTATCTGAGGACTTCACAAGACTCCTGAAGGTGCTATCTTTTTATATATAACCAATCTTTACTGGGCCTATGATACCATCCTACTCATGGAGTTTCTTTGTTCAGGTTTGTCTGTGGCATATAATGCGGCATCAGAGATGTGAAACTTTTTAAAACCTTTTTTTATTTTCAATAAACTTCATGAAATTTTACATCAACTTCATTTTGTCTTGCAACTGATGTGGGGGTTGTTATTGTTTTGTTTTTGTGTTTCTAGGGGTTGAACTTAGGGCCTTCCCATTGAACTACATCTCCAGCACTTTAAATTTGTTTTTACTTTAAAACAGTCTTGCTAAGTTAGTGAATTGCCTAGGCTGTTCTCAAACTTTCAGTCCTCCTGCCTCAGCCTGCCAGAGTCATGGGATTACAGGTGTGCCCTAACAATGCCAGGCTTTGTGACTTTTATCAATCAACAATGAAAATAATAACAAACCTTTGATCTGATAGACAGGGAGAGGGGTTAGTGGTATAGCTCAGTAGCAGCACCCTTGCCTTGAAGGTATAAGGCCCTGGGTACATCCCCAGCACTGCAAAACAAAACAAAACAAAGAAACAGCCCCCTAAGCAAGCCCAAACACATAAGGAGAGAAATTAAGTATTGTGATGTCTAGGCATGGACACACAGCCTGATAACTAGGCACCCTATTGTTACATGGCAAAGAGATCAACTGAGGCTAAAAATGACCATTTGTACAGAGTGCCAGGGCGGGCCAGAGAGTCTTCTAGTGCTGCCGATACTGGATGAACATAAAATACTTCTAGGAATTCAACCTAACAAGAGACTGGAAAGAATAAGTACACACGTAAACATACTAAGTGCTGTGATGTCAAGGCTTCTATCTATGAAGTGGTAGGGAGAAAATACAGATATGAAAAAAACTGATTCTGTCTCAGCCAGACATAGTGGCACATGCCTATAACCCCAACACTCTGGGAGGCTGAGACAGAAAGACAGCAAGTCTGAACTCAAATTGGACAACTTAGGTGAGACCCTGTCTCAAAGGAAAGAATAAACAAAAGTCTACAGATGCAGATTGTGAGAAAGCCCTGGGTTCAATCCACAGGACCACCACCAAAAAAAAAACAAAGAATGAAAGAAAAAAATTCTGGTTCTCGCTGAGTTAGGCCTTGAAGGAGGAACTCTGAAAGCAGACACCAGGGGAAAGGCTGCCAAGCAGAGGGTAGGCGCAAGGAAAGGCCTGGTAACTGAAAACACAGAGCTCATTCAGAAAATGCAAGGTCTAGTGCAGCTAGCTCCATGTTAAGTCCCTAAGGTTTATGGGAAGGTGTGACTTTAGAACAAGAACAAAGAACCCCTCAAAAGCCAAGCACAGGGCCGGGGATATAGCTGGGTGGCCTGGCAAGCACAAAGTCCTGAGTTTGATTCCTAGTACCAAAAAAAAAAAAAAAATCCACACAGGCCCAAGTTTAGACCCTGCAAACAAGTTTGAATTTTCTTCCCTAGAGAAAGCCACAGATATAATGATATTTGAAAAATACCTGGCAATAGGATACAGAATGAACTAGAGGAGAAACACATGAAGCTCAAAGCCCCAAAGGCACCCGCTGTTACAGTGTCTGAGCAAGAATGGCAGACAGGTGGTACCTTCACCAGGCCTCAGTTACCACAGTGCAGGAAGGATACCATAGGGAACGTAGCGTCAGAAACGATCCTGGGTTTGGGCCATGCCGCAGCTAATAACGCAAAGAGGAAAAGTAGGAGCAGCACCCTGTGGGTGGGAGGAGCAGGTTTAAATTTGAGAAAGACTGAATGGACTGCATTAAGGAAGTCTACAAACAGGTGCAGCTGAAAACCTGAAGCTCCAGAAACAGACTGGCATGTGTCAATACGTGATAGCTGGAGCCGCGGTACTTGGAACTGCCTGCTGAGTACCACTGAATTTCAACCAGGTGCACTTCCTCCCACCTTCAATTGTCTTAGTTGTTTTGTTCTGGTTTCTTTTTTCTTTTGTTTTTTTTTAATGCTGAGCCTTAAACCCCTGGACATGCTAAGGATGTGTTCTAACACAGAGTTATACCCCACCCCTTAACTTTTTTTTCTGGAGACAGGGTTTTGCTATGCAGCTCAGGCTGGCTTTGAACTCACTTTGTAACTGAGGATGGCCTCAAACTCAAGGCAATCCTCCTGCCTCAGCCTCCTGAGTGCTGGGATCACAGGTGCATGATGGGATCACAGGTGAGTGCTAGGATCACAGGCGTGCACCACCACACCCAGCAATCCTTAACTTTTTCTAAGCTGTGCACCGCTCATATTCCCATGTCCTAAGTCATCTTTTCTCCCTATTCAACTTAGTGTATACCTTATTTTAAAATGTTCTCTGATCCAAAAAGAAAACTGTGTCTTCCAAGATTATAAACTCCAAGGGGAAAAACAACAAAAAAAACATTCTCAATGCTATTTTAGTGACTGGTTGAGCAAAATAGGCTTAACTGATGAGCCACCACCTGGAAGAACCTGGAGGCTTTGAGGGGGGGTCCTCAGGTGCACCCCAATGGTTGCACAGGTGACAGTGTTGGTGCAGGAGGGGGACACCTGAGACCAGTTCAGGCTCTGCCCGCAAATCATGTGACTGCAGCCAAGCCACTTCTCTAGGTTTCTCGTTTTACAGACTGACGTGTACATGGCCTACAACAGTGTCTATCACTGCTCTCACTGAGAATTGTCAGGTCCAGCTGGATTGAAGTTTACAGCAAGTTTTATTTGCTTTAAGTGCCATTAGGAAATTCAGGAATGATGTAAAAATACCTTGGGTCTTTTCTCTGCTTCCTTCCAGTTGTTTTTTTGTTTGTTTTTTTCCCCAACTGCCTTTTAACTCTGCTCAAACATATATTAGAGGGGCCTGAAGCACGAAGAGGAAGTGAAGTCTAAGGAGTTCATTTTGTTGCATTTGCGGCTCAGTAAAGACTGTGGGCACAGGGAAAAGAAAAAAGGAAAGAAAGAGGAAAAGGAAAAGGAAAAGGAAAAAGAAAAAGAAAAACACTAAAATGGGATTTGGAAATTGGTGGCAACCAGCCAGCCAGCTTCTAGATACTTTGCACTCAACCTGATCAACCAACTAAAAGACAACTAGAACAAAAAGACCACATAGGTTTTTTTTAAGGTGCAAATCGGACTCCCACTGAAAGCTAAATGCTTATCACCTGGGTGCAGCGGCCACCGCATTTTTCAAGGGGACAGCATTTTTCTGTTGTCTGAATATACAGACACATACTTTTTTTTTGTTTTGTTTTTTGTTTTTTTTTGGTTTTTCTCTGGTACCGGGAACCGAACTCACGACCTTGCGCTTGCCAGGCAGGCGCTTTTGCCGCTGAGCTAAATCCCCAGCCCCCAGACACATACTTTTGTGATCTAAACTTAAAATGAAATATTTTTAAGCTTAAAAATGGGGGCTGTCTTTCTACCTCACTTTCTTTTGGAGCCACGCCTCCCAACTTGGGCAAGGAACACAGCTACCTGACGTCTCAACAGCCCTAGGGGATGAGCGAATGTTACTAATTACTATCAAATAACTCAGAATTGCGGCGGGGGAAGGGGACCAAATTTTGGACTAGAGGAATTACAAGCCACCAAGTGACTTTTTTAACCCAGCCACAATCTCCCTTCCTCATTCGAAAAGGGACTTTCTAGACACATCTTGAGCTTCAGTACAAAACGTACTTTGTGACTGAAGGGTATTGTTCTCCCAGAAGGGACCCATTTTCTCGTGAAAGCGACTTGTTTCCAAGAGCCTGCCTCTGGGCGGCGGCGGGGCGCGTTTGCGGGGTTCGGCCTGGCTGCCTCCGGAGCCGGGGAAGCACGGCCTCGGCGGGCCCTGGCCCCCCACCCGGCCCGGCCCGCCCGCCCGCGTCACCTGACCCGACCGGCCCCGGCGCGGCATGGCCACCGACCTGACGACACTGATGTGGAACTGGTCCTCGCGAAGGCCCCTCCAGGCGCCGGGCAGGAACTCCTTGCACCACAGATAGGCCTTGCGCCGCGTCCGGGGCTCCGGCTGCTCGTCGGCCGCCGCCGGCGGAGGCAAAGCGGGCAGGGTAAGCGGCAAAGGCGGCGGGGGCAGAGCGAGCGGCGGCTGCCTGCCGCCCAGCTGCTTGGGCTCTGGGTCGCTGGCGGCGTCGCGCTGCTGTCCCACGCCGGGCGTCGGGGCCGCGCTCCCGCCGCTACAGCTCAGCAGCAGCCCGAGCGGCGAGGGCTCCGCCTCGCCCCCGGTGCAGAACTTGGTCTTCATGCCGGACAGGCGGCCGAAGAGGCGCGGGCGGCTGCAGCGCGAGAGGGCGAGGCTCAGGGTCCGGCCGGGCGCCCCGCCTCAGGAGGCCGGGCGGGGGTCGCTCGCAGGCTCTCTGACCCGCCAGCCGGCGGGGGGCTGCGCGCGGCGGTTAACTGGGGACGCGCAGAGGCGGAGCAGCAACGGCGGCGAGCGACCAGCGACTACGACTCCCGACCCAGAGCGCCGGCTCTATAGACTGCCGCACGAGGAGCGCCGCGCGTCACAGCCCGCCCCCGCGCTCGCAGCCGATTGGCCGCGGCCAGCCACCCTGAGCATCACAACCGCCACCGCCCTCCTCACGCCGCCTTCCCATTGGCTACGGCGCCGCCCCTCCTTGCCCCGGGCGCTGAGGCCGCCTGGGGGGCAGGGGCGGGGGCGGGGCTGAGGGGGCGGGGCGCCCCAGGTCGCTGGGGATGCGGTAGGGGAGCGAGGGGCGGGGACGCTCGGAGCGCTGCTCCGCGCCTCTGTGGTCCTGGTCGCGCGCGCTGGGCGAGGGGCTGCTCTGCCTTAGAGGGCCCAGGGGTGGGTGGGCTTTGGGACAGAAACTTTCCCTGGACCCATCGGAAGGCCCTGGACTTGAGAATCCGAGGACCTAGCTGGGGCGGGCAGGAAATTGGTGTCTGAAAGCTGCTGCTTCCGCGTGACCTTGGGGGCGAGGCACCTTGGTCCGGGGTTCGGTGGATGTGATTTTATGACATTTCTCAGTGCGGGCTCCACGTCCACACCCTGCCCACCTCGGGGTCGGAGGCATTACTATTCCGGGTTCAGAAGCCGAGGCCTGAAAAGGAAAGAGGTAACTGGGTCGAGGCCACACGGCCGGCCCGCACCACTGGCTGCACTGGGACCCGCCCTCCGCAAGCCTACCGCCTCAGTTTCCCTGTCCGTGGTGCTGAGGATTCAGGGGCCCAAAGGTTCAGGGAGAAGACTTAGATGCCTCTGCAGCAGGGCCACCGCAGCGGCCAAGAACGCCGACCAAAGGTGCCTGCCGCGGGGCTGTTGGCTTTGTGGACGCTGTCACCTGCCCCTCTGCAGGAGACACCGCGTGACCATGACTAACGCACCTTTGTCCCGGGTGTGGAGTAGCAGACCAAGGGTTCTCTGCTCCCATGTGCCCACTCACTCCCCCGTATCCCTCTCTCCTCTTTGGCCCCCACAGCCTCAATCCTTTCTAGAAGTAGTTACAGGTAATATAAAAGCTACGGATCCAGTATTGTGGGACATGAGCTGAGACAAGAGGTCCTCGTGGCTGCCAAGGATTGAGGAAATGCAGCAATCAGCTCACAGGAAATGGCTTCTTTGCTGGGATTTCAGTATGCCTGAAACAAAAATCTCTGCCAAAAAAACCAGCATGTACTTGTATGAACCTGCTCCAAGAAAAATGATCCAATTGAGCAAAAGGACACAAGTGAAAAGGAGCTTTCAACAAAGCTGCTGGGGAAATAGACCTGTGTCGTTGAAGGGGAGGCAGGAGCAGAGGCCCATGCCTCCAGAGTTGGGACTGGATGTTTGAAAGGCTGAGGAATCCACTTTTCCAGTTAGGGTGACATTTAGATAAGAGGGCCAAGGACTTTATCTAAAAATACCAGCTCATGCTTTGGGGGAGGGGAGCTGTGTGCATGATCTGCTCAGGTGCCAAAACCCTTTGTCCCCCACCAGTGTGGTAATCACAGAGGAATGTAGGAAATCAGGTCAAGGGAAGAGGCACTAGAACTGAGTGATGACTTCTATAATTTGAAGTCTTTCTGGCATGTGTGGGTTTGGCTGTAAAAACCCAGAGCATCTCTGGGATTGCCACTCCCTGTAGGAGTAAGATGCTATCTCAGGAAAGTGTTGAAAAAGCTCTTGAGGCCCAACCAATGCTTGAAAGAACAGTGGATGCGGGGCTATGGGGTTGGGGTAGGCACAGATGGGACACTGAGGACAATGTGATGCTGCTCCAGCTTTGCTTGCCCCTCTCAGGACCTTGAGTTCTGCATGCTAATGTAAGGGAAATCAGTGTCCACTTGTCCCTCAGCATCTGACCTGTAAAACAGCATAGTATTTGCATAGAACCTACCACATGTTCCCTTAGACTTTAAAGTATCTCTGGGTGCCTTGTTATGTCTAATACAAAGTAAATGCTATATAGATAGTTGTTATACTGTATTCAGGGAATAATGACAAGGGTAAAAGTCTGTATGTGTTCAGATGGGTGCAATTTCTTTTCAGTATTAGGTTTTGAACCCAAGGCCTTTGAACTGAGCTACAGCCCCAGCTTTTAATTTTTTTTTTTTTTTTTTTTTTTTGAGACAGATTCTTGCTAAGTTACTAAGTTGTCCAGGCTAGACTAAAACTTGGGATCTTCCTGCCTCAGCTTCCCGGAGTGTTGGAATTACAGGCGCGTGCCAACATGCCCAGCCCTGGAATATTTTTGATCCCAAATTGGCTGAATCCACAGATGTGGAACCTTTCAACACAGAGAGCTGACTCTAATTTATGTTAGAGCATGACCATTGCTCTGGCCTTCAAAGAGCCGAAACTGTGATGGCAGGGGGCACCTCTGCTCATTTTTTCCTTCCACTATCACCGTTCTCCCCTACACTCTTCAGAGGAGATCTCCGGGGCATTTGAGGGAACACCAGGTTGCCTGGAAGGTGGTGATTTGTTTCATACCAATGGTTTGAGTGCTCAGAGAAAGCTGATGTCACAAGACACAGGCAGAATTTTAAGGGTGTTGCTCATGTCCCATGTCTCATATATGGGAGAGGCTTGTCTTAATTCACCAAAGCATTCTATCCCAAAAGGCTTCTCCTGGCCATGGGCACACTCAGAGGCCACCCTGCCAGGGGCCCCTATGGAGCCTACATGAAGGAAGATACTGTTCAGGGGATATTGTCCAAAGTTCCTTCCTTTATCAGTAATGTCAGAAACCTCAGCAGAAACCCCTCAACAACTCTGGAGCTCAGCTGTGTTATCTCCATTTAACAGATCATAAAACTGAGGCTCTAAGCAATTAATAATCCACCCCAGACCACACACTAGTAAATGACAGAGCCTGGGGCTAGACCGAGATAACTTGGCTACAGAGCTTGCTTTTATATCACCTCAGCAGCTGGTACCGTGTGGATCAGACACTAAGGGTTTCTCAGTTTGCTCTTCCTAGAGGGCATGACTTGCCCAGCTCCACTCTGAATGCCCATTCTTGGGCCATGCCTGGCCCTGGAACTGGCACCCTTGAGTCAGGTGCCCAGGCCTGGATCAACCAGTTATTACCAAGTAGCTAGTGCCAGACGAGTATCTGAACAATAGGAGCTGGAGACAAGGCAGTGCCTTCCAAGGGGTGGGCATGGTGGGAGTTGTGAAGTTAGCTGCCGCTCCTGTTAGGTGTCATACAAAAGTCTTTGCTTTGAAGAAGATCCAAGTGATTCATATCCTTTATTCATGTCTCAAACATACCTGAGCATAGGTCCTAACCTTCAAAACTTGCATAGCGTAGTGGGGGAGAAAACTGGCTCTAGAGTCTGGCAGCCTGGGTTTAAATCCTGCCTCTACCACTTCCTGATGTCGCTTTTAGGAAGGTTTCTGATTCTCCCACCCTACTTTGGTCCTGGGGATGGAACCCAGGGCCTTGCACACACTTGACAAGTACTCCACCACTGAGCTACATCCCCAGGTCCCCACTTACCTTCCCTGAGCTTTGTTTTCCTTATCTGTAAAATGGGTATAATAGACCACCTCTTGGCAAGGTGAAAGGATGTGAGAATTAATGAGACGAAGCATAATAAATATAGAAGCTGCATTCACCATCAATCCTAGTACTCTGGAAGGCTGGGGCACGAGGATCATAAGCTCACTGGAGCCCACTTTGGGCAACTTAACAAAAGCCTGTCTCGAAGTAAAAGATGAAAAAAAAAGGGTTAGGAACATATCTCAGTGCAAAGGCCCTGGGTTCAATTCCCAGTCACACACACACCCTATCCCAAAGGAGAAACCCACAGTTGTAAATACATTCAGAACTTTGATTTAGCAACCTTCTTCCAGAGACTCTCCCAAGAAGGTAGCCATGCAAAGAGCCCCACGCATAAAATTGCCCATTGTCACATTATCGATAATTGGAGAAAACTGGAAATAACCTGAATGTCCAGCACCTGGGGAGGCCTAGGTCAATAAAGGACTTTGAGTCCACATGTTGGTAGAGAAAAGAGAAGTCAAGGGGCTGGGGATTTAGCTTAGCGGCACAGCGCAAGGTTGTGAGTTCAATTCCAGGTACTGGAAAAAAAAAAAGAAAAGAGAAGTTAAACCTGACCAGGTTAAGGTCAGTTGGCAGGAACAAGGAAAGCATTCATTTTCCACGTTTCTGGAAGGTGTTCTGTGTACCTGCTCAAGGGCTTGGCAGTACAGATGTGGGGAAAGTAGATCCGCTTCTGTCCTACTCCAATCTAGGCTGGTAAACTGCCCACTGCCACCCTCTCCCTTGCTCCTCACCTGTTTGCTGTTGGTCTGTCTCCCTGCCAGACTGGAGCTCCCACAAGCGTAGGGACTGTGCCTATCTTCTTCTCTGTCATGGTGCCCAGCACAGGCCCTCAGTTTTGTAGTCATTCAAAACTATTTTGGAATGAATGAATGAGTGAAGTTCTGGCTTAACACTTACAAACATATGACTTTGGCCTGAGCCTCAGTTTCCTCAGTGAAATAGGGACTCTAATACTCCGTACGCAGGGTAGTCATGAGGATTGAATGAAGGATGCATGCTAAGCATGCCTGCAGCACGCAGGAGGCTCCCGTACTATCAAACAAGTTGTGCTGCGTGGTACAGCCTCTCTCTGTGGCCAGTGTTCACACACAGATAGCGCACACCTGTAGAAACAGCCTGGGAAGACAGGGTAGTGTAAGAAATGGACTTGCAGTGTGCACTCTGAGCACGAGACCATCAGTGTCCGTGCACAAGTAGACAGGGCTCAGAGAGGAACTTGCTACAGCAGGCACTGGTCCTGGGGAGGGGGTACTCCAATTATCAAGCCTTTTCTTGTGGGAGAAAAGAAAAATATTCCAGAAGCTCTTCAGTAAATGGCACTAAATTCTGACAGTAGACAGTGGGTGGGGGATCTCAGGAGGGGTAGAGAGGAGATAGGGAATCCCCGGCCAGCCTCACATTCTGGCCGACTGAGGGGCCAGAGGGGAGTTCCCAGGGCAACTGGGCAGACCAGAGGCCTGCAAAACACAAAAGCAGCCCGTCCTACCAGCACGGGCCCAGCCCTGCCACCAGCTGCAGCTGCAAGGCCTCTTCTTAGGAAGGGGTTTGTGATCTGCCCCAAATGGAAGGCCAATCGAAGGCAGCTGATAGGAGCAGGCTTCAGTCCTTTTTACTTGTATCCAGCATCTCTGAAGTTTCCTAACCAGTAGCCAGGCAAGTATAATTAGCACCTCATCTCCTGAGCCAGAAGGAGCTTCCCCAGGGGATAAAACCATTTGTCCAGGGCCAACAGATCCTGGGGACCTCACCCAGGACCCTATCCAGGAAGTCCTATCTTTCTGTCCTTCAGTGCTGAAATGCCTTTGACTCAGGAAGCAGTAGACACTCAGCAAAAAGGGGTTTCCTAGAGGACTAGAGAAGCAGAATCTGCACTGGATTGAGCTCCCACCCCTGCCCAGGCGTGGCCAGGACCAGGCCCCCACTCCAATTCTAGGCCTTCAAACACTGACCATAGTACAGAGGGCAACAGGCTGCAATCTTACGTGCTCAGGAGTGGGTTACAGCCCTAGCTAGCACAGTGATATGGCCCTGACCCAAGCAACTTATCTGGCAGCCTCCTACCATACACACTGCCTCAGCACCCACAGCCAAGGCCTAGGGCAGAAGGCTGCAGGAACACAGGTGACCCATACTAGGTGGATGGAGCAACCATTCATCTCACCCATTGGTAGGGACTCTGAGTATATCATATGGGTACAAACCTGTCTTTGGAGGTCATGCATCACCAGCAGGGTGACCTTGAGCAAGGTATCTCCCTCTCTAAGGCCAATTTTCCTCCTTACTACGTGGGGATAATCATTCTTACCCAACAGGGATTTCAGGAAGATTCCTTGAAATAAGCAGGGAAAGGGCCAAGCAGAACCAGGGCTCTACAGAGGGTAGCTGTGCCCCACTACTTACTGTTAGCTAGGTTCCTAGAGGCTGGCTGACAGCAGCTATCACCCTTTTATAAGGGTGGCTCCGTAACAGTTCACCCAGTGTCAGAGGGAAAGCAAAGCCTTTAGGAGCCCCAGCGATGTGGGGCCTCCCTGACATCTGGCAGGCCTGGAGCCCTTTTCATTGTGTGTCTGTCTCTCTGTCTCTGTGTTTCCATCTCTCTTTGTCTCTCCCTCTCTTATGTCTCTCTCTCCTTTCTCCTGGAATGGGAGAATTGAACCCATACTGCATATCAACCTACATCCCCAGCTCTTTAAATTTTCTATTTAATTTACTTTTTAAGACAGGGTCTCATGAAGTTGCTGGCTTGCCCAGGCTAGGCTTGAATTTGGCAATCCTCCTGGTTCACCCAGAATGCTGGGATTACAGATGTGTGCCACCATGCCCTGCTTCTTGGTACTTTCAAAAGTAAAGAAATGTTTTGACAGTATTACCAAAACTGGGCCATATCTGAAATACTTAACTTGTACAAATTAGTGCTTTCCACACACATGCAAAGTCCTATACAAGATAATTTTGCTATTCTCAGAGGGATTAATTTAAGATAATAATGTTTGTAGAACACCTTCAGTGTTGTGGCATAAAGAATGCCTTTCAAACCCAACATTGCATCTCTGTGACAATCTGATGATCCATATTTAAAGATAAGACCAACAATCAATCTGATGCCCTCCTGGCCCCTATGGTAGACTTAGGCAGTGACAGCAGCCCCTGTACTGGAGATGATGCTTTGGGTGCCTCAAGCGCACTTCCTGTGTCCCCATAGCCTGTTCTGAACCAGACCATCCAAACTCATTTTCCAAATTTGGTGAAAATCTGTCTCATGGTTTTGTGGCCTAAACTTGCATTACTTTTGTAACACAAAAAGTGCAATTTTAAGAACTAGGCATGGTGGCTGACACCTGTAATTACAGCACTCTGGGAGACCGAGGTAAGAGGATCCCAAGTGGATAACTTAGGTGACTTAGTGAGACGCTGTTGAAAGAGAGAGAGAGAGAGAGAAAGAGAAAGGGAGAAAGAAAGGGAGAGAAAAAAAGAGAGAAAGAAAGGGAGAAAGAAAAAGAGAGAGAGAGAGAAAGCAAGCAAGCCAGCTAGTGGGCTGAGGATGTAGCTCGCTGGCAAAGTGCCCCTGGCTTTAAATGCCAAGTCCCCAGTACCACAGAAGTGGGGAGGGACAATTATGAGAAGTCACGCTATGAGATTTTGGGGCTGGTTGTTGAGAAAGCTGCATTCAGGCACTGCACCCTACTGGGCTCCTGTCTGTCAGCCCTGGGCCCTGCAGGCTGGGCCCCTGCTCTTGGGATGGCCTCCCTTCTGCAGAGGACTTCCTGTATGGATGGGTGATCCAAGCTGGAGGACAGCGGTCAGGAGTCAGTGTGTTTACCCAGGATACTATGGCCCACCCTGTTTCCCATTCTCCCAGCCCTGATCTGGCTGGTGACATCTGTGACCTGGATGTCAAGAGACCCCTAAGCAACCCCTAGGCCTGTCCACGACCCTTCTCAGTGGCAGACATGGAAGCAGGGGAACTGGCAGCCCCACCCCACTCCACCATGAAGAACGCACTGGAGGTGGCTAGGGCCCCACTGGCCATCCATGACCTTGGCTGGTCCCCGAGTATTTTCCCCAAGCCTCTAAGAGGACAGAGGGGGAGAGGGGCTGGGTGCGGGGTGGGGGGTGAAGGTGGGTACTGGGGGCAGTGGTGAGAAAACCTAGGGAGATCCGCTGGGCCCTGGGAGGCTAAGGCAGACCCTCCTCCCCCAGCTCTACTGCCAAGGCTGAATTTCAAGGCCAGAGGCTGCCAGAAGGAGAAAGAATCCGGTTCAACGGGATTCCGGTCACCCTCCGGCCCCCTGCGTGGTGAGACTGCAGTGGAACTGGGGAGGGGAGCTCCAGGGGGAGGGGCTGGGTGTGGGCGGGGCCTCGAGAGGGCGGGGCCCCCCTGACCCACTGCTCAGGTTCCCGGCGCTAAGCAAGTTTGGGACGCGCTCGTGGCTCCCCTACTTCCACCCCTGGCGCCAGGACTAATCGATGGTGACCGAGGAGCGGATCATCTCATCATCAAGGCCTCCCGGGGCGCTCTTGGGCTCAGGCCCCGAGATCGCATCTTTTGCTGCCCTCGTAGCCTGATCTATTGACCCCTCAGTCCCTTCTCGGTCAGTGCCTGCGCATTTAAGTGCTCAAAGAATTGTAATGTTGATGTTAAGGGAAGTAAATCAGACACACAAGCTTAAATATTGCATGGCTTCTCTTCTATGAGAAACCCAAATTGTAAATAAAGAGCAAAGTGAGAAAGAACAGGAAGTAGGGAGGGAGATCTTCTCAAATAGGAGGGGGATCAAGAGAGGGAGGGAGGAGAGGGCAGGTGGAGGGAGAGGAGGGAAGAAGGATGGAAAAGGAATTCAGCTGCCTTGCGTACCTGCACCAACTCCACACAAAGAATGTAAACATGTGTAACAAAAATAGAAAGAGTTGTTTAGTAAATGAGTGCGCCATGAGCAGTCTGAATGTCCAGAGAGTGCCTGGAAGTCGAGATGCCCGAGTCTCAGCCCTTTCCTGTCCTTCTGTTCTCTGCTATTTGACTCTGGGCTGGTGATGGCTCTCTCTGGGCCTCTATTCCTTGCCTGTAAAATGAGGATGATATTAGTGCTTCCTTGCATATGCCGTTACATTGATGTAGGAGAAATGAAACCCCAGCCTGGCAGCTGTCAAATGGTCTGAGTTTGTGCCCCTCGAATATTGAAGAATGAATTCCAAGGGACAACAAGCTAGGAAAGGAGACAGGAGGGGTTTTGAAGGTGGGTTGCTGCTGAGGCCACTTTTCCAAGAATGTTTTATAGAGCAAAATCACAAGGTGAGTACAGTGTGGGTCAAACTGCAATCAACCAATAAGCTTACAAATACAGCCACTTAGCTGATATTGATCCAATAAGGAAGGGTGGCACTTAGCCATGGTATAGATGGTTAACATCATTAACCTTGGCTTATCTATGACTTTTTTTGTTTTTGTTTTGATTTTGGCTTGGGTTTTTTGAGACAGTGTCTCACTATGTAGTTCAGGCTGGCCTTGAACTGACTATGTAGTCCAGGCTGGCCTTCAATCCACAGGGATCTTCCTGCCTCAGCCTCCCCAGTGCTGGCATAACAGGCATGCACCACCTCACCCAGCTCGGTTTATCTATGACTTCTAACACAGGAAGAACGAATATTTTGGAGGAGGAAAGGGTGCAGGTGCTCTGGTCACCCACCTGGATGTCCAATGCCTATCTAGATTTCCAGGATGAGGTGGTACTAATTACAGTATGATCTCAAGTTGCTGCTTATCCTTTAGGGAGGCATGTAAGCCTGGCCATTGTGACTTCGTCTTGAGGTCTTGCCTTCTTCAGGCGCACCTCCAGCCACAGTGTAATGTGTTCTCATCTTCTGCACTGACTCCCTCTAGGACCCGCCCTGTCTGACCGCCTATTGATTTATATCGCACTTAGCTGCTTAGAGTAACAGGATTAAATGAGTGAACAGGGCTGGGGCTATAGCTGAGTGCAAGCATTTTTCTATCATGTGACAGGCCCTGGGTTCAATCTCCAGTGGACTCCAAGCTTCTGGAACCAGTCCCTGTGACCTCAACCTCTATCTGCCTGCATGTCCCTGCCAGCACCCAGTCTCTGTTACTTTGGTACCCTCACCTTAGCCCTACTTATGTGTCCTGCATTTCTCACCGTCAGAAATAGCGCTCACCCTGCCCTGTGTTTGGTTCACCAGCTTTGAGCCAGGGCCCCTTGTGCAGGAACCTCCCTGTCTACAGCATTCCCTTCACCGGCCTTGCCACCGTGTCCCCGCCTGCCTTTACTCTTCCCCATCCCTGGGGGAGATCCGGCCTTTCCAGCTCTGTGGCCCCTCTTGGCAGAGACCCTGAATGTTTATGTTGTCTGGGTGCCTTTCTCCTTCCACAGCCTGCTTGATGTTCCCAACCCTGTGCCCTTCCAGTTAGTGGGGACATATGACTTGTTATGTGGGTCGCGACTGTCTCCCTCCTGGGAGGCTCACTCTGCTTTCTCTTTTGCCTTGTATCTAACTTGAAGCAGAGGATCCACCAGGCAGAATTGCCAATCCCAAGAAGTCTGGGCCCCTAAGCAGCTGATGTACCTTCCCCACTCTTCCCTCCCACACTGAGCTAAGACACAGCAAGGCGACAACAGCACAAGAGGGGAAGCAGCCTGGCTCCTGGTCTTATCACTTGGAGATGCTGACCTAGGAACATCTTTGTTTTTGTTTTTGTTTTTGTTTTTGTGTAGTTCAGACTTCCCTTGAACTCACCATGTAGTCCAGCCTGGCCTCAAACTCTTGGATATCCCTCTGCTTCAGCCTCCTGAGTTCTGGGATTATAGCCCTGCACCACCACACTTGACTCAGACCAGGAATGTTTGTGAGGAGTCCTCGTGAGCCAGAGGCTCCTTGTGGTGCTCTGACTTGGGACTGTCTGTTAACTGCAGTTGGCCTAGTCTCACTAACATTATGCCTTGGTTCTACTGGATTCCTGGCAAAACCTCAGTCCTGGATGAAACACTGGGTCCTTTTCCCTGCTCTTCTCAACAGCTCTTGAAAAGCTGAATGTTCCTAGGAATGATTATAACTACTTCAACTAGTTTTACTTTCCACTGGTGACCGAGAACCAGGTGGGGTCCTCCTACTGCCATCCCCTTCCACACACACACTGTATTAGTCACGGAATACCTGCGATAATCAACTTAAAAGGAGGAACATTTACTTTGACTCACAGTTGCAGCACTGCTTTGCCCTGTTGCTTGGGGCCTGTGGTGGCCCAGTACTTCATGAAGGGAGTTTGTTTGCTTTATGCCAGGAAGCAAAAGAGAGGAAGTGGCCAGGGTCCCAGTATTCCATTGGAGGGCATGTCCTCGTGACATAACTTTCCACTAGGCTCACTTCCTAAAGGTTCCACAGCTCCCAGAAATGCCACAGGATGGGGGCCACGCCTTTAACTAACACACAGGCCTTTAGGAACATCAAACCACAGCACACCCTCTCCCGTCCCAGCCCCTGCCTGCGAGTGGTGAAGAAACAGCAGGAAAGAAGGCCTTCCTGGGCTCCTCACCAGGTCCGCAGAGCCACTTATTTCTGCTCCCACCTTTGCTGGTTCCTTCAAGAAAGGGACCTTCATTGTACAAAAGCTTATGCACTTGCTGGTTCTCTTTGCTGGCTTCTTCCTCATGACAGCTTGGTGTCCTTCCTCGAGTAGTCTCCCTGAATGGCTGACCAGGAGGAGACTCCCTTCATAAAAGCCATGACACTAGGATCATTTGGGTAAGGAGCCTGCTGCCTCAGGTCTGGGAGACCTCACAGCCATCACAAATCAAGCACCGAGGGGCTGGGGATTTAGCTCAGCGGCAAAAGCGCCTGCCTGGCAAGCGCAAGGTCGTGAGTTTGGTTCCTGGTACCGGAGGAAAAAAAAACAAAAACAAAAACCAAACAAATCAAGCACCTGAGGGGCCCAGGACCTGCACAACATGTGATGGTCAGAGCCAAACTTCTGGACCTTCAGGACAAGATGAATTCCCACAAAGTAGGAGGGAGGGAAAAGACCAGGGGGAAACTGAGGGAATAAAGTCTCAGGTTCCTGAGAAGCAGAGGCTGTATGGCCCGCCATCCTTTCAGGTGAGCACCAAGGGTAGAGGAAGGACCACCAATGTGACTGAAGAGTCTGTGAGCATCTCGTGGGCCTCAACAATTGGTAGTCGCTCTTCTCAAGTGGGAAAAGTATGGCAATCGATTAGCGATGTCTGTAGCAGTGCAGGAACAGTGGATGGGGGTAAGGGTATCACCTTGTGTGGAGACCCTCACAACACCCACTGCAGCACACAACGTTGGTATGAGGAATCCAGGAATTTCAAATAGGCCTACTGCTGCCCGTGTGGCTCAGTGGTAGAGTGCAATGGCAAACAGAAATACCAAAACGACACCCAAGATTAGGAGGCAGATTTATTTTATGTCCACAAGCACTGGTTGGGATCACTCCCAAAATACCAGGCCCTGATCTCTGGTGATCTAGGGTCATATGAGATAAGCAAGCAGGAAGTACAGAGGCAGAATGGCTTGTCAACTGGGGATTGGTTTATACAGTGTGCATCGTAGTGATCAGCTATGCATCACAGTGACCAGCCGTTTCTAAGAGACAGAAGCAGTCAGAACTAAAACAGGACCTAATACCTGGGCAACTAAAACACTGAAGTATACTGGCTTGGATGGGGGTTCATTTTCTGTTACAAGAGCACTTACCTGGCACATAAAAGGACCTGGGTTCAATCACCAGCACTACCCAAAAGACAAAAAAGTCTCAAATAGGTTGACTTGGCTCTAAAGTCTTTATTCTTTCAACTGCCTTGCTGCCTTCCTGACAGCGTTTGTGGAGCCTTCCTTTTGTCCTGCAGAATTCAAGTCTCTCACTTTTTTTAATGGTGGTGGGGATTGAATCCATGGTCTTAAACAAGAGAAGTCACACCCCCTCCAAGTCACACCTACAACCCCTTTAAACCTTCAAGGTTGTGGTGATATACACATAACATAAAATATACCATTTTCACCATTTTTTTTTTTTTTTTTTTTTTTCTGAGACAGAGTCTCACTCTGTAGTTCAGGCTGGCCTCAATCTCACTATTGTAGGCCAGGCTGGCCTCAAGCTCAAAGAGACTGTCCTGCCTCAGCCTCTTGAGTGCTGGGATTACAGGTGTGCATCACCATGCCCAGCCATTTTCACCATTTCTAAATGTACAGCTCTGTGACATTAAGTACATCCATACCACTTTCTGTCTCCATAACGTTTTTCTTTCCAAACTGGAATGCTGTACGTATTAATCAAGAACTGCTCATCCCCAGTCTCCCCACTGCTAACCAACATTCTCTCTCCCTTATCTATGAATCTGATAACTCTAGGAACCTCATGGAAGTGGAGCCATAGGGTATCTGTCCTTCTGGTGTCTGGTATATTTCACTTAGCACAACGTCCTTAGTGTTCATCCATGTTGCAGTGTGTGTCAGAATTCCCTTCCCCCGTAAGCCTGAATGACAGTCCATTTCATTTTCTTTTCAGCTGTCAGAACCCTGAAAGACTTTCACATTTGGGTTTCAATGATGAGTAATGTTGCTGTGAACTCAGGTGGGCATATAATTTGTGTGGGCATATAATTATATGCTTCTTTGGGGGATATAACCAGAAGTGGAATTGCTGGGTCATATGGTAATTCTGCGTTTCTTTTTTTGTTTGTTTGTTTTTGACTTTTTGAGACAGGGTCTCACTATGCAGTTCAGGCTGGACTTGTTTGTGAGGAGTCCTTGTTTGTGAGGAGGACTTGAGCTCACTTTGTAGCCCAGGCTGGTCTCGAGCTCGCAATGATCCTCCTGCCTCAGCCTCCTGAGTGCTAGGATTACAGGTGTGCACCACCATGCCTGACTGTATTTGTTTTTTGCAGCTGGGTCTTGCTCTGTAATTCTGTCTGGGTGAGGGACTTCAGAGTCGTCCTCTGGCTCTTCCCACCATTACTCTGCCTTTTCTTTCTCCCGCCAGTGGGAGCCTTGTTCCCAGCCCCAGCACCGTCTGCCCCGTTCTGAGAGGCCCAGTGAGACTTGGAACTGGCCAGCCGACTGGATCCCTCCAGGGCTGCTGTATCAACCTGGGCAAGATGCCTCCTGTGGCTGCGAGGCCCTGGGAACCTAACGATGTCTTCCAGGAAGAAGGCTGGGCCTGGTCCAGAATTACAGTCTCCCCCAGCTGCTTCTCCTCCTCTTCTCCTTTCTCCAACTGCAGCACAGTGCTCCCCCACCTCCTTCTCGGAAGGGGAGGCAGCTTCCCCTCCGCTTCTCCACTCTCATCTCTTTCCTCACCACTGCATCTCTTCCCCCAAGGAAATTCCACATGTGCGAGTACTGAAGTGTCACACCAAGCCACATAAATAAGCACCAGTGTCACATGTTAATAAAAACTACAGCAGCTGAGTGTTATGGTGCCCACCTATAATCTCAGCACTTGGGAGACTGAGGCAGGAGGGTCACTTTGAGTTTAAGGCCAGCCTAGCCTGGGCTCCTAGAGAGACCTTGTTTTATATTTATTTATTTTTGCCTTTTTGAGACAGGGTCTCACTTTGCAGTTCAGGTTGGCCTTGAGCTCCTTTTGTAGCCCAGCCAGGCCTCAAACTCACAGTGATCCTCCTACCTCAGCCTCCCGAGTGCTGGGATTACACGTGTACGCCACCATACCTGGCGAGACCCTGTTTTAAAATAAAAACAAAACAAAACAAAAAGTTTGAGGAGATGGACATGTTGATTTGATCATTATGCACTGTATACATCTTTTGAGTTATCACAGGTACCTACTAAAGGAGAAATTCTAATTTTATAAAAGGCAAAGTGGTTTTGTTTTATTTATTTCTATTTATTTTTGTGATACTGGGCTTTGAATCCAGAATCTTGCACTGAGCTACCATTCTTATTTTTTTATTTTGAGACGTGATCACTCTAAATTGCCCAGATTGGTTTTGAATTTGGAAGCTTCCTGTCCCAGCCTCCCAGAGTGCTGGGATTACAGACATACACATTCCCAATCTAAAAAAATTTTTTTCTTGACCCAAAAAATTAATAGAAACTCATGGCAGGAAAGTGTGGGAAATACTGAAAAGAAAAGTATATATAAAATTCTGCCAGTCAGAGGCCAATGTGACCACTCAGAGTTTGCTCAGTTTCTCTCAGTGCCTGTGAGCCTATGGTTTTACCATAATTTCTTATTGTCTTCTTTTTCTTCTTAAAATTATATTGTCACATCAAAAAAAAAAAAAAAAAAAAAAGGCGGGTGAACAGACAGATTCAGGGATGATGGGTGGATGGAAACAAGATAGGAATTTAGAGTAGAATTCTGGGATTTTGTGGTTGTTATGGTTTTCACAGCAGTAGCCTAGAACACAGGGCCTCCACGCTGATAAAAAATGGGGTGTGTTTAAATTTTTTAAATGTATCACAATAAAAAAACACATTGCCACTTTCTGAAGCAGTTTGGTTTTTTGAGACAGGATCTTGCTTTTTAGTCCAGGCTGGTCTGGAATTCCCTGGCATCCTCCTGCCTCAGCCTCCTTAATGCTAGGATTACTGATTTGCACCACCATGCCCAACTCCATGCAGTTCTGAAAGTTCTCTTTCAGGGGTTGGGGATTTAGCTCAGTAGCACAGCACCTGACTGACAAGCGCAAGATCGTGAGTTTGATTCCTGGTACCGGGGGGGGGGGAAAAAAAAAAAAAGAAAATATGCAAGTTCTCTTTCATGAGAGTCTTTACAAAGTATGATAGAAAAATGTTGTTAATGCCTCTGCCGAGTACCATCCAACAGAAAGCAGGCTCATAAAAACATTATGGTGTGTCCTTACCCACCTTATTCATTGGGCCTGGCACCATCTGACTTCCGGCTCTTCTCCAAAGTCAAGATGGCCATGAAAGGTAAATGTTTTAAGTCAATTCAGAACATCAAGATAGAAAACACTGATGAAAGAGGACTTTCAGAACTGCTTCAGAAAGTTGTAAGAACAATGGTATAAATATGTACAAAGACAAGGGAGTGTTTTCAAAGGGGAATAATGGCAACTTGTCTTTTACTGTAATACATTTTTAAAATTCAAACATTCACTGTCCTTTTTGATCACACCTCGTGTGTGTGCATGCTTGTCTGTGTGTGATATTTATTATAAGCATTTTCCATGAATATCTCCATTCTCATCTTTCCCTGCACTGGGAGAGGCTCAGCCTTGGGCTGCAGTCAGTACACTAATTCAAGAAGCAGAAGCATGGATAGGAAGTGCTAGGAGGCTCCTTGCAGACCCCTGGCAAGGCTGGGGAATCTGGTTTGAAAAGGAGTATCTAGAAGAGGTTGGGAAGCTACCCCACAGCCTGTGATCCCCCTGCAGTAGGCTGACTGCATGGATGTGACTGCCAGGGGCAGTGCCACTGCAGGATGCTATAGCCACTGCCACCAAGAAGAGCTTCCAGGGGACCTGATTCTTTGTGAAGGAATACATAAGCCTGAGCTGAGAGGTTGGGGATTGGAGAAGCAGTGGGCATCTGGGCCCCAGCCCCCGCAAACCCCCATAGTCAGAAATCCCACACAGCAGAAAGGAGACCTGATGTGGGGTAGCTAAACAAAACAGCCAGTGCTCCTACCCAAAGAAATACCTTCCCAGCATCAGAGTAGCTTGCAAGTGCTGAGGCTCACTGGGTACCAGCCCCTGTGCTAAGCTTTCTACAGGGACCACTGTGCAGAATCTTCACCCTCATCCTGTGGAGTGGGCATTATTATTATCTCTATTTGGCAGACAAGGAAGCAGCCACAGAAGCATTTGGCCCATCTGCCTGGGACCGCTCAGGTGTGGCAACGAGCTACATGCTGTGCTTCATTAGAGAACACTGATGTGTCAGGTTTGTGCAGGACATTTTGCAGACCTTGTAGGCTCAAGGGGCCTGTTGCCAAGGCAAGCATGGCTGCCTGGCGTTGCAGGAACTGGAAGCCTGAGAATCACATTTCCTAGCATGCCCCGCAGCGGGGATCTGGGTCGAGCCTGTCAATCACAGGCACTTGCCCAAGATTTGGAAGGGTGCAGGGAGGTAGTAGTAGCAGGCAGAGACCTAGGCTTTGCTAGACATGGCATCCTGCCAGGACCCTGCGATTGCTCAATTGTGATTTGGGGAGGCCAGGTGGCTGCCCTGACCTTACTTACTATTTCGTAAGTCAAATTCCTGGTATTCAATCCCCTTCTGTTTGGTATTCTGTCTCCCCAATAGAACCTTGATGAAACAGAACCTAGGGGGTATTAAATGATGGCTGACATGATTGTTGTAATTTTCATTTAGCAAAAGAGGAAAGAGAGGCCCAGATAGGCGATGTGGGCTCAATCACCAGTAGGAGGTAGCAGGATATGAATTGCAACCTAGGGACCCCGAGGCTTCCAGTTTCCTGCTCCTCTGCTGGGCTTCAGTGCTTATAGCACTCAGGGATTGAGCTGTGGGTCAGTGTCCTGCAGAGCCTGGGGGGTCAGACAGGGGTTGCTGTATAGGCTAAGGGGAAGCCAGCTGCCTCCCTTGCTCCCCGAGGCTGCTCAGTGCAGTTGTAAGTTGCTGTAGCCCTAGCTGTTCACTGTATCAACTTACTGGGTCTGTTAGCCCTTGTGTGCTAAAGGGTTGGAGCCTGCTGTTGACAGAAACTCAGAGCAGAGCAACGCCTGGCTCTGGCTCACACAGAAAGTCAGTGACCCGCCTGGCCTTGGCCAGACCTCAGGCCTCCAAACCCTATTACCCAGGCCTGGCTCACCTCGTGCAATGGTACTGTAAATGTTGGTCTAGTCAAACTATGTCCCTTGGCAGCCTCTCCCCTGTGGTGGCAATGTGGCAGCCAGCAGCTCCTGACCCACACCCGACTGATGAGGCAACCCCAGTAGAAAAAAAGTGTCCTGTCTCAGGGCCCCAACCTAAGTCCCAAGGCTGCATCTGATTGGTCCGTCTTGGTCACGTGTTCATCCCTGGACCAATCACAGTACCTGGGGGAATGTGCCCTCAGATCGGGCATCCCTAGAGTGGGACTGGGTCCAGTGAAGATGTCTGGGCATCTCAGGCCACATGAACTGAGAATGGAATGCAACCATCTAAAAGAAGAGGGCATGGATTTTGGGAAGAGGAAATGACCAGGGAAGCCAGGACCTGAGCCTGTGACTTGTCCCCAGCCTGGGGACAGCAGCCATCCTGTTTTCTGTACCACCTTGGCAGTGCGGGTGGATGAACCCTGGGGGAGGCGATGAGGACATGCTGCAACTCAGAGTCCAGGAAGCGGTGGAGCAAAGAATGTTCCTTCAGGAACAGTCTCTCCTCTTTCATGTGAGCACCAAGTTCCTTCACCACCCCCAGCTCTCCAACCTCTCTACCAGCAGACCAGGTGCCAGGCCCTGCACTTAATGTAGGGGTGCACATGAACAGTGTCATCTCATTTAATCATCCCCCAGGTGCCATGAGCACCCGTTCCACAGATGAAGACACGAGGCTCAGCAAGGCAAAGGTTGCAGGGGGGTTGGGCAGTGCAGCTCCCTGGTAGATTATGTGCTTAGTTAGCATGTGTGGGGCCCAGGGTCCAATCCCTAGCACTGCAAAAATAAAGTTATGCTGAATCTAGGAGCAAACTTGGTATGTCTGAAGCCAGCCTGGTTTCCACAAGCCCACTAGGCAACGCTTTTTATATTCTTCTAAAAATACCATTACAAATTGTTAAAACAGTGCTGTTTTAGTCATAAATGAAGTAGGGTAAGATCAAGGGCCATGTCTGAGGCCTAGGCTCCCAACTCAGGGCAAAAAGCTGTGTTGTGAGCCGTGCTTGGTGACACATGCTTGTAATCCCAGATTCTCAGGAGGCTGAGGCAGGAGGATTACAAGTAACCTGGGTAATTTAGCAAGACCCAGTATCAAAATAAAAAATAAAACAACTGGGGATGTAGCTCAGTGGTATCATGTTTTCCTAGCATATGTGAGGCTCTGGGTTCAATCCCTGTTACCAAACAAATAAATGCGTGTTGTGAGTTGGGAGGAGCATAGCAGGGCCCTTTCTTACCTCTACAGTGCAGCTCTTTTTCCCTAAAAATTCAGCTCAGCCACATTCGGTGGTACACACCTGTAATCCCAGCACTCTGCCTGGGCAGCTTGAGGCAGGAAGATTCCAAGTTTGAGCCTAGCCTGGGCAACTTATGATCTTGGTAAGAACCTGTCTCAAAAGAAAAGAAAAAAATAGAGCTGAGGATGTAGCTCAGTGCAAAAGTCCTCAGCTCAGTCTCCTGTACTGCACGCAAAACACAGCTCAGAGCTCCCTTCCTCTGAGAAGCTTTCTCTGTTGTTCTTGGCATCTTCCCCTGGCTGCTTCCCCTGCTGCCCTGTGAGAGCCCCTGCTGAAGTGTGTGTGTGTGTGTGTGTGTGTGTGTGTGT